ACTTCACAACTGCGTACAACAGGTGCAGCATCTTGGGTTCATGTGATTGCCATTTGTGACCTTCCCAACTGGCTTCCAACAAGTACACTTAACGGGAGGACTGGATATAAAGGTTTCTCCTGTCCTGTAGTGTCCAACTCTACGGGGCAGTACTTATCTCCATTTCTTAGCCAAGGGAGCCAATGTTGTTCAAAGACACTTCCAAGGTCATGTGGCCAGGATGACTATACGCTGAGGCGCATGGAGAGTTGTTACCTTTCCCACCAAAGTAGTACCTATTTATCTACTTGCATTTGAATAAAATAGAATAGAATAGAATTCTTTATTGGCCAAGTGTGATTGGACACACAGGGAAATTGTCTTGGTGCAAATGCTCTCAGTGTACATAAAAGAAAAGATACATTGGTCAAGAGTCAAGAATCATAATGTACAACACTTAATAATAGTCATAGGATACAATAAGCAATCAAATCATACTAGGAAACAGTCAATATAAATCGTAAGGATACAAGCAACAAAGTTACAGTCCTACAATCACAAATGGGAGGGGATGGGTGATAAGGAGTGATGAGAAGATTAACAGTAATAGTAGTGTACACTTTGTAAATAGTTGAACGGTGTTGAGGGGATTATTTGTTTAGCAGAGAGATGGCGTTCGGGGAAAAACTGTTCTTGTGTCTAGTTGTTCTGGTGTGCAGTGCTCTGTAGTGTCGTTTTGGGGGAAGAAGTTGAAACAGTTTATGTCCGGGATGTGAGGGGTCTGTAAATATTTTCACAGCCCTCTTTTTGACTCGTGCAGTATGCAGGTCCTCGATTGAAGGCAGGTGGGTAGTAATTGTTTTTTCGGCAGTCCTAATTATCCTCTGAAGTCTGTGTCTGTCCTGTTGGGTTGCAGAACCAAACCAGACAGTTATAGAGGTGCAGATGACAAACTCAATAATTCCTTTGTAGAACTGTGTCAGCAGCCCCTTGGGCAGTTTGAGCTTTCTGAGTTGGCAAAGAAAGAACATTCTTTGTTGTGCTTTTTTGATGACATTTTTGCATGCTGCTTTCGAACTGCTAGGTTGGCAGGAGGTGGAGCAAGGAACGGGAGTTCACCCCATCATGCAGCTCTCAGGTCTTGAACCTGGACTGTCTTTTTTTTTTTTTTAACTTTTGTTTTATTTTATAATTCCTCTTTGAGGGGCCAGTCATTTTTTTTTTTACTTACAAAGAATGTCAGTTATTACTTAATAAGTGTCAACTTCTATCGCGGGTTTTCTTGTTCAGTCATTTGTAACATTGCCAGGATAATATTTGTTGAATGCTTGGAAGTATTCCAAAGATTTCATGCACGTTTATCAAGTTGTAATCCTAACCTAACACCTTTAAGATGTGTGGACTTACAACTCTCAGAATTTCCCAGCTAGCAACCTGGCTAGGGAATTCTAGGAGTTGAAATCCACACATCTTAAAGCTGTCAAGATGGAGAAACAACCCCTGTCCTACAATGTAATTGAGGCTAAGAAGCCACCTCGTGGCTGAATTCATATATTGCGTTCAGCCATGGTTTGTTAAATAAACCAAAATTGGTTGTAAATGACCTGCTCAGGGATCTTTGTGAGCCCTTGATAAGGTAGCATTACACAGCACTGTTTTTTATAGCAGCTCAGGGAATAAGAGTCAGAAACTGAGAATATTCCTTTACCTTGGAGGTCACTCCCTGAAGGGACTTCAGAGGAAAGATTTATTAGGAGAAGATGCTTGGATTGTCGTCCTACGCTTTATGGAAGCTGGATGGGTTTCACAATATCTACATTTTAAACACCGGAGGAAACTTGTGCATGCTTGGGTAGCTTAGATACATGACTTGGGTGACCTTGTCAATGCATCTTAGAAACAACAGAACCTTTCTTGAAGTCTGGTGATAAAATGACAATTTACCAAGTATCTCTTCCTAATCTGAGATTAGATGAATCTTGGCAACTTTAAGACACATAGATTTCAGCCCCCAGAATCCACCACCCAGTGTATCCATTTTAGGAGAAATCCATTGAAGATTACATGGTAGATTTGATCAGAGCCAAAAAGGCTATGAAAACAGCAGGAAATTAATTAGCATGTACAAAGTAAGAAGAAATGCAGTTAGGCTTTTAATCCATTCCAAAACACTATTGCAATGAATGGATCAAACTTGGATGATCCCCGCTAAAAGTGAACCTTGCATCTGTGGGAAAATGCAGAGGAGGATCTACTTATTTGATTCTGGCAGATCCTATAAAAGCTCAACAGGATTCATCATCTTCATTTAACGATCCCATAATCCCTTGCGGGGTGGAGTCTGGGCAACTGAATGGAGCTAGGAGAGTGTTTTAATGGTCGGATGCCCTTCCTGACACCAATGCGGAGTTTTGTTCAGCAGATATTCTCAGTGCGCCCAGAGAGAAAAATATCTGCTTCTACCTAGGATTGAACTCACAGCCTCCTGGTTGTAATATGAGAGCTCTACCTCTAGACCACCGCACCATACAAAAGCTAAGTGGGATGGAACCTGGTTAATGCTTAGATGGGAGACAGGAATTCTAAGGGACTGAAAACAAGAAAAGGAAGTGGAAGAAAATGGCAGAAGAGGAGGATGGAAAGAGGGATGGAGGATGGTTGCCAAGAAAGCTTCATGGCTGTGTTGATGAAGTCATCGGAAGTCAAGCATGACTCAAAGAAAACTCTCCCCTTTTGGCCTCTGTGCTTTAAGAAGAAGAAAAAATCCTCACAGGAAACCTGTTAACACAATCCTGTTTTAGTCAGAGGTCTGGAAAAGAATGTAAGGTTAGTTTTAGATTTGAATAAACATGTGTTCGAAACTTACTGGTGCAGTTCAGTTTCGAAATGTCTGTTCTGAAATCTAGCTGACTTTCATTCTGACTGTCTTTTGTAATTTTATATAGCTTTATAAAGCTCCAGAGCCACAGCCAGAGAGAATAAACTGTAAAGGAGAATATTTGTAGCTCAGGGTTCAAATGAAACGGTCTGTGATAACTCTCTGAGCTTGGCTGGGTTTTTTTTGCAGATGTTTCATGACTAAGCTAACTAGGTAACAAACCCACCTCAGAGACCACCAAGGATTCCCTCAGAATAAACCATCAACCGGCTCTTTGGGCAACATTTTCTAAGATCCAATCCCCTGAATTGTGTGTGTGTGTGTTTTTTTTTTTAAAGAGCCTTTTTGTAAACTGTTAAGATGCCTACACTTGCTTCAGAAACAGTGTCAGAGATGTAGTTTTTTTAAAAAAAATGAAAATGTCCATCCAAAAGTTTCCTTAGGCTGTTCCATGTAAGCATGTGTCTGTTTCGATGCCATAAAGTATTTATTTATTTAACAAGTGTATATGGCTGTCCAGAGTTCCTTTTAGTAGAGTTGGGGTGATGGTGATGTCAATTGGTTTAATAAAGAAGTAAGTGCTTTATGTTAGATGGCAGAGGTCAAATCATTCTTGCCCCAATTCATTTTTTTTGAGGTATCAGTTCCTCCTTGAAGTCCTACCTTTAAATTCACCATAAGTGAGTGAAAAGAAACTGAGTAATATAGAAACACGAATAAAGGAGATCTTGTAGTCTTATGAATACATCCATATATAGTATATCTGAACTGGTAAGGAAATCCAGAATCCATTGACTAAAGTCCTTCACTGATTAGAATTAAAGTTGAGCCTGAATTTTTCCTGTTCTAACTCAACAATTTGTTCACTGTGAGAAAAGGGCCATTCCAAGAAACAAACTCCAACCCAATAAATTCAGAGAGAAGCATTTCCTCAAAGTTCCATTTTATTAGAGTTGTCATATTGGCACATCTGGGAAAACCCAAATTCGAGAGTTCTGGGTTTTCCCTTCCCCAAGAGAAATTCAAAAACCCATCTCCTGCACCCATCTGTCCACCACATGGCCCAATCAAATGTCCGGTCCCAACTGGAGACATTCCTCCAGACACTCCTCTCCAGGTGCAAGGCAACATTTTCCTTGACTTCTAAGAAAGAATGTTGTTGAGTCGAATCTTCTACTCACTAGGAAATCTCCCCTCCCAAATTTCCAGGCACTAAATGTGGCAGCCTCAAAGCTTCCAAGTAAAATATGGCTTCCAAGACTGATAGCTGCTATATATCAGAAAAACAAACTTGTGCAAATGTGCAATGGAAGAATGAGAATACAGTATTCAAAAGGTTGGATGGACTCAGCCAGCATGGCTGGCTCAGGAATTCTGGGACTTGAAGTCCATAACCCATAAAGGGGCCACAGTTGCTCATCCTTGGTCTAGCCCCAATATATCTTATGTCAACACCTGAATAGAATTTGGAATGTTGCTTGTAACTCTTTGGGCTATTCAGGGATGGGATTCAAAAATCCCAGCAACCGGTTCTCTGTCCAGTTGCTGGATAGGTGTAGCCATGGTGGGCATGGCCTACGAGAACTTCTGGAAGGGCCATTTTTCCCCTTCTCCATAGTCCGGAGGCTTCTCTCAGGCCTCTGGGAGGGTGAAAACGGTCTCCCCTGAGTCCTGGAGGACCTCCGGAAACCAAAACCAGGCCTATTTCTGACTTCCGGAACTTCCTGTTTGGCCATTTTCCGCCTTCCCCAGAGTCTGGAGGCTTTCCTCTGGCCTCTGGGAGGGCGAAAATGGCCTCCCCAGGCTCCGGAGGGTCACCAGAAACTGGAAAATGGCCGGTTTCTGGACTTCCGGAACTTCTGGTTTGGCCCATTTTTTGCCCTCCCAGAGCCTCTGTGCAGACCCTGTACTTACCTGCATCCAAAACAGACCGTGTGGAGATCCTGGGAGGGGAGGGGTGGGGCAGGGTAGGTAGGGCCAGCCAGTTGGTTCAACTTTAACATCCAGTTTGCCCAAACTGGGCCGAACTGGCTGAATCCCACCCCTGGAACTATTACCTTCCCTAATTTATTTAGTGGTCTGAAAAGGAGTCCTTGCCTTGAATAATAAAGCATTTTCTTCTTTTCTTCTATAAATTTTGCAGTCCAAGTGGGAAGAAGTTCCGAAGCAAGCCCCAGTTGGCCAGATACTTGGGGAACACGGTTGACCTCAGCAGCTTCGACTTCAGGACAGGGAAGATGATGCCAAGTAAATTGCAGAAGAACAAACAGAAATTAAGGAACGATTCACTCAATCAAAACAAGGTTTGCTTGCAAGCATGCTTTATAAAATATGTTCATTGCAAAACAGTTGGAATCAAAAAGGAAAGGCAACATCTGTTCACCATTTTTAATAATCCCTTTGATAATTTTGCATTCTCCTTGATCAATGATAGGAGTGGGCGCAGATTTTAAAGCAGTATTTGAGGGTGGCAAAATAAGTAGGCTTAAGACTGGAATGCTAAATGGGAAATAATTTGAAAACTGGTGTAGTGGTTAAGCATCAAGTTAGACCCTGGGAGATTGTGAGGGTTAGTCACTTTCCCTCACCCCTAAGAAAGAGACAATGGCAAACCATTTCTGAAAAGCTTGTTAAGAAAACTGCAGGGATTTGTCCAGGCAGTTTCTGAGAATTTGGACATGATTGAATGGATGAAAAAAAGATGCTCATAACTGGAAAAAAAGAAGGACTAGGGGTGACATGATAGCAGTCTTCCAATATCTCAGGGGCTTCCACAAAGAAGAGGGAATCAAGCTATTCTCCAAAGCACCTGAGGGCAGGACAAGAAGCAATGGAAACTAGTTGGAAACTAGTCAAGGAGAGAAGCAACCTAGAACTAAGGAGAAATTTCCTGATAGAACAATTAAATAGTGGAATAGCTTGCCTCTAGAAGTTGTGGGTGCTCCATCACTGGAAGGTTTAAAGAACAGATTGGACAACCATTTGTCTGAAATGGTGTAGGCCAGGCTTGTCCAACCCGCGGCCCACGGGCCGCATGCGGCCCAGGTCGCCTCGTAATGCGGCCCAGTGCCCACCCCAACCTTCTGGCAAGAGCCAGCGAGGAGGAGGAGGAGAGGCAGGCGCGAGGCGGGGC